GGCCCCTCCTCCCTCTCCATTGTTAAAAGGAGAGAAAAAGAAAAAGAAATCTGAACTGAGCCTTTTCTTTAAAACGTGCAAGCAGTTTCTTGGCTGTAAGACAGCCTCCTGGGCTGATACGCGGGGCCCATAACCCAACGTTGGGGGTTGTTAAATGTTAGTTCAAAAACTGTGAGGAGGATAAAGGTCTTTACAGAATAGAACGTTTCTACAAGAACTCCAAAACTTATACTTTAGTAAAAGTTGAATAACTAGAACAAAAAGTTGCATGGCTCCTTTGGTGTCAGGTCAATTCAGTATTACAAGATTAAAAAGTGATGAAAATTGGAAATTGACTCCTACCACTTTTTGAAAAATTAAGGTTAATTTTTTCCCCAGAACCTAAGGGCATAATTTCAAACAATTATCCAATCTTATGTGAAGTAGATTATAGCGAAACTATAGCAAACCAAAAAGCAGCTTAGATGACTTTGCAGTCTCTCGGGTAGCATTCTGAATATTTTAATTTATATCCATGGGGAAATACGTCTTAACTGGTGGCATCAACCCAAGAAGAATCTCACACAGAACTGAGATTCTTGCAATGATGTGCTGGCAGGTTTGTAAATGGAGATGAACATACTTTTATCTTTGGTGGAAATGCGATAAAGTACCAGATTTCTGGAAGAATGTGTTTAAAGAAATGTTTTACATCCCTAAGCAAAAGATTCCGTTCTCTCCAGAACTAAGTTTGCTATCCATATTTGAGCCAAAGAATGGAAATATCTGGATAATATTTAAGTGGACAGATGGAGGATAAGATCTTGTCTACAGCGTTACTTGAAAAAGTCTCTGATAACATCCACTGTAGGACAAGGCAAAGTGGTGGATCGTTGTTTTACAAGGAATGGTGCAATTTCGTTTTTTACATAAGCAGCCTGCCAATGGCTTGTAACAAACATTATGGGCACGTTAAAACCAACCTGCATGATGTAAATTTTTGAAATTCAAATACAGTTTTTTTTTAAAAAGGTGAATGACAAGACTCCATGGAAGTGGTTCTGAAATCAAGAGGCCATCAGTTTGCTGGTGTTTTCTGCAGGAGAGAATTACCCATTGAGGTTGAGATGCAGGCATTGCTCACCCACTTTTAAGCATCTCAAAGCTTCTTGAAAATGCAGAAGAGGAAACCAGCAGATAACCAAAATGCAAATTCCATCCATGAGCTGTAAATCCTTCAGTAAAATCTTAACGATCAGTCTTACAATTTTGACCAGCCTTTGAATCTATTCAATGAAGTGTACAAAAGCAGGAGGCACTTGGTGTTCTTCTGAAGAGGAGAAACTGGACAGTTGTTTGGCATTCCCGAGAGCCACCTCTTAACATCTCTATCTTGGAATTAAAAGCCAACAGCTTCATACAGAAGGTACAGGGAAGAAAGGATAGGAGCCTCACAGTTTGATGCCAAGTGCTGAACCACCCCAAAATTTGGAGAGCTACTCTGTTGAGGAAGACGCAGCAGCAGAGCAGCTGTCCTTCACGTTCCTCAGGAGCTCATCATGAGTGAAGAGGTGAAAAGCGATCTCCTCATATTCCCTGGATGCTCCACACTCAAACAAGCAGGCAAACATGAGTGATTCTCCCTCTTCACATACAGCCAGGTCCGAGTACCCACTGGGTCCTTTATTCAAGACCCAAGGAGACTTCCAGCTGCCCTCCTTGATTGGAGAGGTATTTAGGTAGATCCCCAGATCCACACGCTTCTTTCTGCTGGTGGGATGGGAGAACATCAGCCATGATTTGGGACGCTCTGAGGAAGCAGAGGATGGAGAAGCGTCCAACAGAGAAGTTAACCCCTTTAGATCCCTCGTTTGACTCTGATCCAAGGGCCCTTGCATCGGAAAGAAACTCACTACGCTTCCTTGGCATCCATGTGGCGGTTCACACAATTCTTTGCAAAAGGAGTGATTTGCAAACTCATGACTGTTTTCTGCACTGTGGGCCTCAGCCCGGAATTTGTGCAAACTTCGGGCATTGCAATATAACACCTTCCTGTCGTCCTGGCAGGTCACCTCAGCCATCTGACACTCAGACGTCTCCAAGGCCTTGAGAAGCCCACTCCGGGCCCAAGTTTGCCCACCATCATCGCTGTAGAAACTCAAGCAATGGGGCTTGATCCAACATGGGAAGGAGCAGCCAAACAACAAGTTGCGGATGTAATAGGCGTAGGCTGGGATCACCAGGCGTCCCGAACTCAATTGCACTCCATGGCCTGGTCCCACAGCAAAGGTAGCCCACTTCCTCACTTCGTCACCAATCACCTGCTCAGTCAGGTCTATCATGGGGCTCCACGTGTGGCCACCATCTTGGCTGGCGATGTATCCCAGCCTGGCCGCATTCCTTCCTGTTCTAAGCTGGTGCTGCTCCGAAATATTGGCCTTGACGCAGATGAAGAAGAGGAAAACTAAGCCGCTCTTCTTGTCGTACACTGGACATGGGTTCATGATGCGATGGTTGGGTAGCACGGCTGTCTCCAGAGACTCCTGGGGGCTCCACTAGGACGAGAAGTCTCAAAATAAGTCCTTAGACAAGGGGCCCTTAACCTGGGGCCCACCTAGACAAGGGGCTCTTAACCTGGGGCCCATAGACCCCTAGGGTCTATGGGGACAGATGTCAGGGGGTCTGTGAACTTGGATGGGGAAAAAAGGTTCCAACTTCATTTTCTCATACATTTCCATCCCATATTTGTTGTTTTTAAATATTTTGATAACTGTATTGGAACATAATTTGTAACACATTCTCCACGTGTTTTATTGTATGCATTTAAATACATTTTTCTCAGAAGGGGTCTGTAGATCTTACCAGCCTCTCAAAGGGGTCCATGGGAAAAAAAGTTAAGGACGCTGCCCTAGAGGGATTTTCTCCCTTCCAATATGCATTAAACTACATACTGAGATGGTTTAATCCTCAAAGCAAACTGAGATAGAACTCTCAAGATCCCCACAAAACATTCTTTTTTCCCCCTTTCTTGCACTTCTGGCTTTCTCTTTGATTTCTTTCTTTTCCTTACTTTCTCTTAGTTTGTATTGGTTTTTAATTTTCCTTTTTTTAAAAAAAAAATCTTTAATAAAAATTATATGTATAAAAAAGAAATCTCAAGCTCCCTTTTGCCTGGAAATCTTAGCGTGGCCTAAATTCTGGGCCTCCTCTTCCTCTGCAAACATCTCTCCAAAGCATTACGTGCCCTACAATTTATCACCGGGTGCCCTTCAACCTCTTCTCTCCTTCTGCACGCCCAAAGAAAAGGTTGAACGTAAAAGCTGTCTGATACTGAGAGACATGTCTCCGAGGTGACTGTCCATCCCCAAATTCCTTGCTTGCAAGGGTGCGGTTGGGGAGAATTGCAATGCTGTTCATCTGGATACGCTGGTCGGGTTTGGATGCCAGCGCAGCAAAGCGCTAGAAAGGATCATATTTTTAATTTCGGAGGCCAATGCATTTGGAATGAGAGCACCGTCTATTTTCAGCAGAACCTGAAACAGAACTCTACTTTCACTCCCTTTCCTCAACACCCACCGATGCCAGAGTATTTGTGTCCTGCAGACTCGGCTTGAAAAGGACAGTGTCGCGTGAGAAGGCTAGGATCCACCAATCTGATCCCATTCAGATGTTATACTGGTACTGTAGGAGTTAGTCCTGGGCAAGAGGGAACCAGGACCTCAGCTGCCGTACTCTAAAGCCATGTTTCTTTCAGATACATGGACTTCAACTCCCAGTATTCTAATGATAGCATATTGGAGATAATAATGATTAATAAGAATAATAATATATTTCATAATAATATGTTTAATTTTTATGCCGCCTGACTCCCAGCAACTCTGCACAAAATGGAAATATTAAAAATAGTTTTTTTTTAAAAATCTTCCAGACTGACTCGCCCAAAGTCCTGCAGAAAATGAAAGTCTCTTTGTGTGAGATGGGCGGCTATATAAATGTGATTGATTGATTGACTGATTGATTGATAAATAAATACATAAATAAATGTCATCAATGGATTCTTAAAAGCAGGATCCTGTCAGCTGTTTCATAGGGAGCCACAGAGAATGACATTTTCCGGATTCCACCTCTTGGATCTCTCTAATGGCCAAGTACCAGGAGGATGCTCTCCTGGTCAGATTGTGCTCTGGGCGTGCGTGCGTGCATGTGTGCGTGTGCACAGATTCTAGCTGAATCAGACTGTCCCAAAGATAGGAAGGAATCAAGCTGCATAAAGGCTTCTAGAAAGAACCAGCACGTTGAACTAAATGGTGGAAATCTCTCAGCCTACTGGCTTGGCAGGGATGAAAGCATTACAAAACTGCCCTAAAATTTCTAATCCAATCCGAATGCAAACCAAACTCAACCTGGTAAAGGTATTTTTGCAAATCCTTATCATTCACAGAAGGCGGGAATACAGATTAGCATTGAGCTCTTCAAAGATGCCCATCTTTTAAAAAAAAAAAACAGAATTGAGAAACAGCCCAGCTGACCACAGGAAAGGATGCAGATCTGGAGGAGCGCAGCTCCTTTCGGGCTCCAGGGTTACCTTGACAGACGTGCCTTCTCTCTGCCCGCGTCGCATCACCAAGAACTTGGCATGTTCATCCCGGTGTGAGGAGCGCTCCTCTGCAAACGCCAGGAAGGTGGACTCCGAGGGCAGGTAGAGCAGAGCTGGGATGCGATACGTGACACTCCCTTTCTGGCGGAACACGGT